AATACACTTTTCGTGAAGTTTAAACACTGTCACGAAAGGATGTCACGTGACCTGTCCTCCCCTGTTCAAGGTCTTTCCGTGACATTCTATAACCGTCACGAAATCATTTTTCATGACGGTTTATGAACGTCGTGGAAGTCCATGTCTTTCATGACGCTAATAAACCGTCACGTGTGCTAATTTTTGTGACGTTTTTTAAACGTCTCGTATACCTTTCGTGATGGGCGTATAAGTGACGGCGTTAAAAACGTCACGAAAAATTTTTGTGACGCCAAAAAAACGTCACGATAGCTCCAATTTCTAGTAGTGGTATATGTTACTTTGGTCCATACGTTTCGAAATCGTGAACTTTTGGTACCTGAGTTTCTAGGATTAAGTTTAAATAGTCTCCCAACTAATACCTCCTAGTAAGTATCTCACGAAAAAGATGACTAGACTAATGTGGCATATCCTAGTTGAAAAATATCCTTCATTATGCCCATCACGTATCGAATAAAATAGAAATGCGATGAAAAACCCAACGCATCCACGTGGAATACAACACCACACATTGCTAATCCACACGATCATTGGCATTCTTGATAACAAGATCTATTAACTTAGCAATACGATCATAAGCCCTAACGCATCCACGTGGAAGGATAAGATCACGTTGGTCTTCTACGTGGTCACTTATGCGATGCCGCTTATAAAATATGATATTAACACTATCACAATGCTAGTTATATGATTTTGTACGCAATACTTATATTTTAACACGTGTATGACGTACATATAAAGACAATTCGTGGATTAGCATAACCTTGGCGAACTCATCGTGTGTTTTTTTAATATAAAATATGAAACATTCTTGAATAAGTTATATCGTTGTCTGTACATACTATGTACATGGGTTAAAATATAAAGCATCGTGCAACACGATCTTATGACTAGCACTGTGATAGGGCCAATGATCGCATTTTACAAGGGGCATAGCATAAGTGCTTGCATGGAAGACCAACATGATATTAATTATCTTCCACGTGGACACATCAAGGATACAATCCCATTGTTAAGTTATCCGATAATGTTACACGATGGTCAATAATACCTAGTGAGATCGATGTATTAGCAGCGCCATGTTATATTCCATGTGGATGTGTTCGGATTTCATTGTGAACATATTTCATTAGATCGTGGTGGGCCTAAAATGCCCAATGTCTGGATGGTGAATATCCACTTAAAGAAAGATATTTTCCAACTTGGATATGTCACGTCAGTCTAGTCATATCTATTTTCCGTGATATATCTAAGAAAGACGGTTTATTGAAGGATCGTTAATTTAAACCGATTTCGAAAGCTTAAAGACCAAAAGTATACGATTTTGTAATATAAGAACCATAGTGACCAATAGGTAAAAGTTTAAGGAGCAAGAGGATACATTTCCTTTGTTGTTTTTGGAAGTAGCTTGTAATATGGTTGCTTTCTCCTTCCATTGTCACAAGTCATAACTCTAAAGAAGATTATCGTTTGGATTATTTTGAAGGAGAATATTTGGACCCAATGGATCTACTGATTTTGACTACAAATTAATCAATCAAATTTTCTAATTAATTGACTCTTATAATTAAGTCCTGAGTAATATTCCTTTTTAACCTTTCTATATAGCTAGTGTATATTGTGTGTTCGGTATTAAAAAAAAATGTATGTTGTGTGGTTGACGTACCATGACTCTTTTAATACTCACAAAGTTACACAATTATAAATTTAGAATTGCAATCACATACGCGAGAAAAATTACGTCTGTGGATCTAATTAATTATATGGTTCGAAATTCAACATTCACAATAACAGTGATCGGAGAAAAACTATTATTATTATTATTATTTTTAGTTCAATAATATATGGAATAGATTTGTACGAGAAATTCGAATTCACAGTTGATCGGACATAAGTTGTTGAGGTATGCTCTTGCCAAGGTTACGTCATTTTTCCCCTTTTCCCGTGTACCATTAATAATTGGACCAATTTTTTAAAGCTTCAATTTCTAAGAAATTTTGGCTGTGAAAACATGACGGTCCAATGAATTCCGACACCCAAAATATGTGGACCAGTCCGTGTTTTGTTTTTTGTTTTTTTTTCCAAATAAAAAAATATAATTATTTATATTTCTAAAAAAATTCAACTTTTTTTTAATTTAAAAATCATTATGAAATTGAAAATAGTTTGCCTTCCGATTTTTTGCCCTCTTGGTTATTTTGTCAATTCTTTTATCAATTTCAACTATTTGTCCAGATAGCAATTCGACTCAAATTTTATTATAAGTTCAAAACATTTTAGGTATTGTTTTTTAAAATACAATTTAGGTATTGATTTTTAAATCTTTTTAAACTCAAATATCATTTCCATATTTATTTTAGCATTAAAAAATATTTGCATCAATTGCCACTAATATTTATTTAGGTTTAAATACTCTTTAGTTTCTAAATTTTATATATTTATAATTAAATTTTAGTTAATATTAAAAAACAAGAACGGGTAACGAATTTTTATACACATTTTAGAGACCGATACAAAACATTTAAATTTTAGGGAAAATGAGTCGAAAGAACAATATATTTTTTTAATACATACAGAAGATTGAACTTTCAACCTAAAAAAAATAACTGGTAGTCATCTATTGTGCGATATAATCATCTTACAAGAAGTCAATCCCATAACTCCTTTGAGTTTGTATATTAGTTTTTGGAACGTGGAGTTGAATGAGAAAATTGCATGTGTTGGAGAAAGGATTTGTATCAAGTAGTCAAATTCATCCTTCCATTTTCCAATGAGGTGGCACATGTTCATTTGTGGGTTAACAATCTTTTTCAACACCTTGCCTCATCCATGCCCTTTTCACATGTCCCATGTTCTCCTTTTCTACTAAAAAAAAAAAAAGAAAAGAAAAATCCCTTTGCCCCACTTATTGTGTTGTTTCCTTCATCATCATCACTCTTCAATGCCCTTCTTTTTTGGGACCTTCTTCTTCTTGTTTCTTCTTGTGTTTGTTGTTGTTTAATTTTGTTTGTTTCAATATTTACCCTCTTATTGCGTATGTATGGATACGGAGACAGTACGCATACCCTCCAAGTATAGAGACATATAGATCATAGAACAGTCAATTCCTGGATATTTAAAACAAAAAAGAATTTACCTTCCTATTCTAAAATTTCTATTTTGTTAACTTAAAAACTAACCTACTAATTTGAAAGAAAGTCAAGCACTAATAAATTAATGTAGGATTTCTGGTGTCGTAACAAATTAATGTACAAGATTAACATTGAATAAACATTAAATTCCAAATTTTTGTCAATGAACTTCGATTGTGTTTGTTTAGTTCATGGACTTTAGTTCATGGACTTTTAAAAGTTTTAATCATGTTGGAGTCTGACCAAAGTATCATATTTGCTGGGAAATGGAAAGATCCATAGTAATTTAGTAAGAATAACCATCTTCGTTAGTATGATAACTTTAGGATAAAACCAAAATCAAAATCACAAGTATTTATGTTTAGAGTAGATAATATTATATCGGATTATAGGGTTTGATTGTCCTTACAAATTAGACAGTCTTAGGGCATAGAAGATGCTGGAAGATCCTCAGCTTTGAGATCTTCATATTCTTTTCCAAAACACACTTGAATTTGGTAAATAAAAAATAAAGAATATTAAAGTCACCTATATAATACCTATTAAATGCTGCCATCCAGTATAATTTCAAGATTTCTAAAATAAAAAAACTAACTTTTCAACGTAAGAATGACTCAATTCGTCGAGATATATCTCTTCAACTAAAAAGTCATGTGTTCGAATTTTTATTTCAATCCACGTGTTGTTGTAATAAAAAAAGAAATTCAAATATACCTAGTCCACTCAACTCCTATAATGTATGTGGCATAACAATTTTTATTATCCAAATGTTATATCATTTTATATTAATACTCATGTATCTAATTCATAAGACGTAACTTGGTACTTCTCCACCCATTCTATCCCTGCCACGTGAAGTTTTTTTTTTTAATTAATTTAAATACAGAAGGAGGAATTTCTAATGGCTAGGACCACATGTGAACTTTAGTAAGAAAATTAATTAAAGATTAAAAAGTCCAGTAACTTTAATGTTTTCTTCCGTTGCCATTAATTCGATATTATTATTATTTTCCCTCTCTCTGAATTCTTTAAAAGCAATTTGTAAAGTGCGTGTTGATTTGGTAATGAGAAAAAGAAGTATTTTTCTAAAAGTAATATTCCTGTGGTGGTTGTTGATTTCAACAAGAAATTATTATTATTAAGTCAAATTGGAATGGTACGTTATTGGAAGACGTGTTCTGCTGGTGCTAGCCTAAAAATATAAATATTTGGGACAGAAAAAATAAATATGTAACAATATTGATTTAGTTTGGAATAATACTATATTATTTACGAGTAATAATCTTCCAATGGACCATAATTAAAACTCTCATTCTCTCTTCTACATGGTAAAAAAAAAAAATATAATAATGGTCTCTAAGTTATTAGAAGATTTATTGACATTATTATTGCAAGAGTATATAAAATTTCACCCCACGATATAAATGTCTACGTTTATATTGACTAATTTTTTAAGAAATATTATTCTTTAATTTAGTCAATATAAGTGTAGACATTTATACAACAATCGTAACCGCTCCTCAATTAATGTAAAAAACATGAACTCTATAAATAGAGGTTCTGTCTCACTTTTCAAGTGCGCAAAACTATTTTCTCATTGAATATAGATCGAATCAAGACTAGAAGTGTAAAAAACAATTTTCTCTCTCCGTGCACCTTCTGTGACTATGCCCGAGTCCAAACTTCGCAGAATTTATCAATTGTTTGATCAAATGAACTCTCCTTTGTACATTTTAATAAAAGTAACGTTATTTCTTTCATAGTTTACCTTCAATACAAACAATAAATTCAAATTACATACCCACATTATAAAATAAACAAACAAAAATATTTGACATAAAATTGGTTTTGTTAAAAAATTGGGAGGTCACGAAGCTAACAAAGTATCATAACACACACCTACGAAAATAAAACAAAATTCATAATGAAAAAAAATAAGAGATTATTAAAATTTTCAATGTTGAATAAGGGCAAGATGAGTGTGTTTTGGTCTTGGAAGCCATTCGTTTGCATTGATAAACTGTAGAGAGAGAAACGGGTCGGCCTCCGACTCAGTGAGTTCTCTGGACCACGAAACTCGTCCCCCATAATCAGCCCCCGGCCCCGAACACTTATATTGCCCATAAAACACCGTCCTGCATATTCATCCTCCAAATCTTAAATTAAAATATTATACTCTAAATAAAATAAAATTAAAGCAAAAAAAGAAATTTGGTAATTACATTTCTCTATTTTTGTCTCCCCAGTTGTACCAGCCAGTGGGAGTGATGATTTTATCCATGTAAGTATAGGCAAAGACGACTCTGGAGAAGGTGCCCCAGGCCCGGCCCAAGTAGAGGGCGCCCGAACCGGAGACCTTACAGTTGACGAAGGAGAACCCGGTCTGGTCCAGAAGGCTGTTCCGCTTCTGGGCCGTGAGGGCGCCGTAACTGTTGGTCACGGCGTGGAGGTGGCAGCCGTCGTAGATGGACAGCCCGTCGCCGAACACGAAGTCCACCGACCCCTCCACGTAGCAGTCCTTGAAGTAGTGGCGGCCCACGTGGTCGTACAGCGTGTCCTGCGCTCCGATGAACCTGCAGCTTATGAACGCCGCCGCGTCCCCCGATATCCGCAACGCCACCGCTTGCTTCCCCAGCGCCCCCGACGCCGGCACCTTCGCCTTGTTCTGTTTTTTCATTCCCCTAATTACCCTCATTTATACTTACAAACATGTGGCTTTTTGGTCCTAAACTTTTATCGTCTTTTTCCTTTTTCTAAATTTAAATGGAAATGAATATTGCTTCTTTTTTTTTAATCATTTAAAGGTTACTCCAAGAGATTTTTCTAACAGATTATTCAACTTTTCCTGGTGTCGGGTGTGCAACGAATTTTAATTCTATGTCTAATAAAATTTTAAGTAAGATGACAATTGGACTATTTTGTTTAAGAGTTTATATTGGATGAGTCGGTGGATGAGTCAGCCCACCGCATAAATTCTTAAATAATAGGTGGTAAATATCTATTAAAAATAAAATTTAGAGTTTAGGAATCAATTAGAAAAATTTTAAAATATAGGGATGACACACCGTGATGAAAGTTCAATTACATTAGAAATTTTTGATGTATAGGAACTTTTTTTATATATAATAAATGAGAGGATGGAGTTCGAACCTCTTGACCTCTAAGAAATGAATAAGACATCTAAGTAAGCTTATGTTAGCGAAATATGGGAACTAAATAGATACAATTCTAACCTTAATTAACTTAGTTAAAATAGGAGTGAATTAAATGTAAATTATAGCTTCACGTACTATTTTGATAATTGAACTTATACCATTATTATATTTTTGCTTCTAATATTTTAATATTACATATGATTTAAGGTTCGCTCAGCATTTAAGGCACTTGATTCATTCTCTTGAGACTAGAGGTTCAATCCTCATCCCACCATTATCGTAGTAATATATATAAAACACCATTTTAAGCTGGTTTTTCATTAATTTTTTCTATAAATTATTTTAATAAGAAAACCCAACAGTAGACTCACAATTTATTTATTTACCTCATAGAAAGATGTCTAAATAAACAAGATGTAATGCCTTTACGACATATTCATGAAGCAAAATATGATTTAAACCTAGATGGTAATAAAAGTTGAAGTGCTTAAACGTGCAACTTTAAAAGTTGGGAGGACCAAAAGATAAACAATGAGAGTTGAGGGTTTTGTATTTTTGAAGTTTGAACACAAAAAAATATAATGAAAAAAAATGCAAAGATTTGAAACTGTATTTGAATTAATATTTATTTATTCTCTCAGATAAAAAGAACAAAAGTACAAAATTGGACTACGTACCCTTTCTTATTATTTTTTTTTATTTTTTTAGGAAATCTTATTAATTGTTTCTTCACTACTTTATTTATATTTATATTATATTCAAAATTTTAATTTTTGTGTGGTGTGTTTTAATCCTCGATGATTATAGTATTTTTTTAATATAATCGTCGTCCAAGTCCTTCCAACAACTATATATGTGTGTCAGTTTGGTCATTAAAAGTCACGAGGAAATGACCATTTACATACGACACTCAAACTTTATTCCTCCAATTTTTAATTAGTATATGCAAGCCTTGAAATAATATAATTTATAAAATTATATTATAAGAAAACCTTTTCAGGAAATTTGGATTTATCGTCCAAAAAATTCGTCTTGAAAAGTGAAATTCAAATACTTTTGTTAAAAGATTCATAAAACTCATTACTTAAGTGTTATGGCTATGGATGAATCTAAAAGAAAAAGATGACCTAAATTTTATTTTAAACTTTTGGGTTTATTTTATTTTGGTATAAATTTTGAAATTTAGATGATTTTTCTATAAATTATTTAATAAAAATATGGCATGATATCAATTTTAATTTAGTAGTTTAATTAGTAGATTAGGCATTAAATTTCAAAATAGATCTAAATTCTTCTTGACATTTTGAATGAAAAATTGACAGTAAGGCTTAAATAATTTTTTAACGCAAAGATTAAGGATAAAAAGTGGAGCATTAGAAAGTTTATTGATCAAAATTAAAATATTTACAAATATATAAATCAAAGTCAAACAATATAGGTATGTATATAGGTTTTAATTCTTTTTAGCCCTAATTTTTCATGCTTAATTTTTGTTTGTCCATAAACTCTCAAATACTTTGTTTTAATCTCCAAAATTAGATCGTTTTAGATACTCCTATAGTTCAAATATTACTACCTCCATTTATCTATAGAATAGAAACACGAATATATTAGAAAGAACAATACTTATCTACCTATAGTTACACACTCATTTTAACCTTTTGACATGTGGTATAGTTTTATTGATTTGTTTTTATTATATTTTAATAAATTAGTTGTATAAAAAAAAGTCACTATACACAAAATATTCGAACGTGATTGTCTTTATTAACTGTCAAAGGTAAATTTGAAATCTAGTCACATTGCGACGGTCCCCCTTTAATAACAACTATTCAT